GAAAAAGAAAAACAAAGCACAATGTCTGCTACAGTCTCAAGTGGTTCCCCTCATTTTTTTTTTTTTTTACATTCACTCGAAAAAAAAAAAGCATCTACAATCAAGTCCAAATCAAGTAGAAATATTACAATATAGACAAACAATCTGTGCTGTCAGACATAAACAACCACTTCATTAACTGCACAATCAACACAAAAACAGAAGAATGCTCATATTTGATTGACACTGTCACGGAGGTATTATTGAACACGTTATGTCATATCATTATTGTTTGCAGGGATTTAAAACTAAGTTATGATACAGTAAATGTGCCTTAGTAGCCGGTGAGGCAACACATACACTAAATCAAACATTCATTTGACAAACGTGTAGTGTAGGCGCATGTTCCAATACATGCGACGAAAATAAAAGTAACGTGATCACTGAAAGACGTCACAAGATGCACAAAATGCAATCGATACACGGTCAACATACAAAACGGTCATATTAAATGTCAATCAAGCTTTATGGGATCCGTCACTAACCATGACCTCTCCCTAATGGCGACATTATAAATAAAGGCTCCTAACTCTGATAAATTGTACATCTGTCGTGCTTTTAATATGGTAACAATCAGAATATGAACCCGCATATAGCAAAGTGTTGATTATTGTGTCACGATAGGCCATCACGCTGGATTTGGGATAAAACATTTTATGGAACCTACACAACACCTTCAAGTCTGTGCCCAAAAGCACTTCACGGCAAAGTTAAATAGTCCCTGCAAAACTAGCTGAACAGAGTTTGATGACACCACCGAGGTCACCTGATGGGGCACTGATGTTGTCGGGTTACATTCGTCTTGACTCCAATGCAGGCGGCGGTGTGTGTCCACAAGAAAGATGGCGGCTTCCAGCTCTGTTGTGATCAGACACTCCCAAAAAATAACCCCAATTATGAGTCGAAAACGGACCAGTCGCTACACATCTTTTTGGATTATTCACTTCACCCCCAACGTTGTGTCAAAGGAATAACCAAACACATAATTTTTAAATTACATTCATATTCAATTATCTATTTTTTTAAAGGTGAAGTTTATTTTTTTTTTTGTTTTGTTTTAAGAAATATGCGTTGTGCACCCCCATTCGTCCAAACCGAGTATTCTAATTAGAATTGCATTTATGGAGGATGAATTAGGCAGAAAAATCCACATGTTTAGATCCATCTCAAGTGGCGGCCATTTTGTCTTGTACAGCGACTTGGGACCATCACAGTGCCAAAGGGCTGAAATCACGACTGTTACGGCTCACCTGCTTTCTCGGTTTGGTCATGTGATGTTCGCAAGCCGATCCCTTAGGGCACATGATGTCATTTGTCAGTTGATTGACAAATCAACTGACAAGTGCCAGTACGAGGCAAAATGGCCACCACTTGAAATGAATGAAAATGGGTGCATTTGTATCGGAATTCATGTTCGACAAACACAACTTTCATCAGAATACCCCATTTTAGACTCGTGGGGGGCGCATAGAGCATATTATTGTAAAGACTATTTTTTCATTTGACTTGTTGACTTTTAAGAGTGTATATATATTGCCTCGTAAAATGAATACGAAGTGAATACTCCAACCATTTGGTTCTAAACAACCCCCAAATTGGGTTGTTTTGTGGGTTATACATTTGACCCATACATTTTTTTGTGCTGAATGAATAACCCAAGAAGTTATTTTTGACCAAACAGTTTTTAGACAGCATTCTTCATGCCTTCGGGACTCTACAAGCAACAAAGATTGGCAGCAAACCAAACAGAAAAAAATAAATAAATGTAATTCAAGCTGAAAGTCGCTTCATTCTTGACTAAAATTGGTTGCGCGTGTTTTGATGGTCACCTTCGGCGGCAGCGGGGGCGGATCCTCCTCGATGCTGCGACTGGCCACCAGGTCCTGTAGCTGAAGGGCCCCTCCGCCGATGAAGCAGAAGGCGGGACACACGGGGGCCGAGCAGTCCACGTGGCCCTCCCACAGCAGGCGTAAGGAGTGGGCGTCGTAGAAGGACACGCTGCCCTCGTCGCAGTCCAAGCACACGCCCAGTCTGGGCGGCAGAGGTGTCGTGTAAGGGTGGGCGGGCTTCGAGTTTGTGTTTTTCTGGCCTCGGGGGAGAAGGATTTTGCCCATGCCCATGGTGAGGAAGCAAAAGGAGGGGGAGTCCTGGCCGTCCTCTGCCTCGCTGTCATGGCCGCTGTCTGGGTCATAGCTTAGGATGGGTAGAAAACATTTGGTAAAAGAGGACATATCCAGCCAGCCATTGTCTTTAGCCTCTTGAGAGTGCGAGAGTACAGTTGTGACATTTGTTTGCACGTTTGGTGGTGTGCAGCTTTTTTTTGCCCTGGTCACCTGTCAATCATAAATGCCATATTGAAGGTGCTCACCGTGGACTGGCCATGTCTTGCGGCTGATGGAACCACTCTTGAAGCTTCGCCTCCTGTCCGACTCCGACCTGCATGATTGACAAAAGAAAACTTGACAGTCATTTATCGACGTCTTAACAAAATCTCTGTGATACACTTCCATCAAAATACGCAGAGGACCAAAGCTAATCTGTGCTAACATGACAATCCCTTGAAATGGGTGGAAAAACTTGGCGCCGGGTGATATATTGTAAATAAGATCCACTATTATGTCACAATACAACAAAATTCAGAATAGCTCTCTTACAGACACAAAGAGTTGTATATAAACATAGCACGTCGACTTCACAGCGCAAAGGTACCGGGTTCAATTCCAGGTCCGGCCTCCCTGTGTGAAGTTTGCATGTTCTCCCCGGGCCTGCGTGGGTTTCCTCCCACATTCCAAAAACATGCATGGCAGGCTGATTCATCACTCTAAATTGTCCCTAGGTGTGAGTGTGAGCACAGATGGTTGTTCGTCTGTGTCTGCCCTGCGATTGGCTGGCAACCGGTTCAGGGTGTCCCCGGCCTACTGCCTGAAGACAGCTGGGATAGGCTCGAGCACCCCCATGCGACCTTTGTGAGGATAAGTGGATCTGAAAATGGATGGATGGAATTTTCCATATGTCCCCTTCGAGCTAACTTCAAATGTAGCATTCTCTACCTTGATCAGGTAGGAGCTGGGCTCCACCGAGCAGGCCCAGTAGTGCCTGCCTTGAGAGACGGCCAGGTCGGCCACCAGGAGGTCGGCGGTCAGGTGACAGGAAGTGAGCGCGCGGTCGGCCACCTTCAGCAGGGAGATTCCCGGCACGCTGCGGGCGTACGTCTGACCCTTGCCCAGCGCCAGCCTGTCGGAATGCAAGCCCCAGCGAGAGTCCAGGGAGAAAGACAACACTGGCGGGAAAAAAGAAGAAAATCGGACAGAGGACATAACAGGAAGGGGGAAAAAAGGGAAGAGGAATTCTCAAGCTGAACACACAATGGAGAAAACAACAGGAGGAGTATATCAGGGAAGGAGCAGGGAATATGGAAAGATAGTATTTATTTTGATCCCATTTTGCCGTTTCAAACGAATATCATACAACCTGATTATGATGCGATGATTGCTAACAAAGAAATGAACAGCAAGAAGCGCAAAAGAAAGGACAAAATGAAATTAGCAGCAAATTTGGACTAAAGTAGTCATGAGGACAGAGTTTTGATTTGATTTAATACTGATTTCTTTCGCAAGGATATCATAAATCCCAGTAGGACAAAGACTAATAATAATAATACGCAGAAGAAAATTAATGTTGACACCCATTAAAATGCATTGAATGTTTTAATGTGCTGCTTCTTCAAATGTGTAGACTTTGGCCACCTGGGGGCAGTATAATACAGCCATACGAGATACAATCATGAACGTGGAGGCATAAACCAGGTTTTACCCAGAGCCTCGTGTTCCGATTAGAATGAAACCGAATGAACCATCGGAATGAAAATGCTCTCCATAAATACATCGATTGGAATAAAAAGCTCGAATCCGAATGGAATTTTATTCAGATTAACAGGGATGGTGTATTCCTTTTGCCCATCTGAACAAACCTCACATAAAAGGTTCAATTGCAATAGCCGAAAGAGTCTTAGCTCCTCAGTAAGGCTATAATATTGATCATTCTTTGCAGAGGATAAAGAATATATACCCGTGAGTATTGTATTATATAATTGTATTATTCTATTCCCTTTAATAAAGGCGCAAAATGAAGTTTAAAATGTAATAATTACATATAACTGAAATAATTTTAGTGCAAGTTTAAATAATTTTGCTCTTTTGAAATATTTGCATAAATCCAAATATGACTAACACTACTTCCATCCATCCATTTCCCTATCCGCTTTATCCTCACACTGGTCGCGGGGCGTGCTTGAGCCTATCCTAGCTGTCTTCAGGCAGTAGGCGGGGGACACCCTGAACTGGTTGCCAGCCAATCGCAGGGACTAATACTACTAATATCCCAATTTTTTTTTTGACTAAGACTACTAATATAACAAAATATACAACTACTATATGACCTCTAGGAATAATAATTTAATCAATGTTAAAACAATACAGATTTAGTAAAAGAATATCATCCACAGAAAATGAATAATAATACTGAACATTATCACAACCCTAATAAGAAGAAGAAGAACAGTACATGCAATTGAATTATACATTTGTGAAGAAATAACATAACTTCCAATTGGACTATATTTGATTTTAGTTTTTGCTGATTAGTTTTAGTGTTGGCAGCAAATGTAAATGAGAATACGTCAAAGAGAATTTACCTGGAGCGGGCGGCGTGTGAAGGTACACCTCCTCACTGTAGTCTCCAAAGCCGGCCTTGTTGCAGCCTCGCACCCTCATCACGTAAACGCTGTCGATTTGCAGTTGGTCCACGATGGCGCTGGTCCCTCGCACTTCGTCTAGTCTCTGCCACGTCGTCGAGGCGTTGGGGGATCGGGTGCCTCCCCACGTGTCTCCCGACGCCCCCGTCCGTCTTCGGTACTCGACGGAGAAGTGCCAGGCTGGGGCCGAGTCCTGAGGGAGACGCCAGCACAGGAAGAGCTGGTCGTACGCCAGCGTCTTTTGAGTGTCGATCACTGGAGCCAGAGGGGCTGCAAGGAACGAAACAGGTGGAGATATTTACCGGTACTTCAACCTGGTTTTATATTATCTTGTACATTCACCAACCACAACATTAGGTATCACTTTTTTTTTCGACCACTAAATTTGATGAGTCACATATTGAACATTTCAATGATTGGTTCATCACAAAAACTCGTTTTTTCATGTTAGTTTTTTGTACTGGAACGCTAATTGAATATTAAGTTGCTGAGGGTGTAGTGGTATACTCGCCCGACTTGTGTACGGGCGAGTGTGGGATCAGTTCCCACTTAGTGAGGGTGTGGATGTGGGTGTGAATGGTTGTTTGTCTCCGTATGTGCCCTGCAACTGACTGGCAACCAGTTCAGGGTGTAGTCTGTCTTTCGTCTGAAGTCAGCTGGGATAGGCTCCAGCAACTCTCCACGACTCTGTTCAGGATAAGCGTTGTTGAAAGTGGATGGATGGATTTTTAAATTGCTGCTATTTTTTTTCATGAAACTGACCCCAAAAATTTTTTTTATAATCCTTTACGCCTTCACACCACAATAATTAAAAATATTGTTTCATGAATACGTGTGCACCAAATCTGAACATCATAATCTTGGTCAAGTTGATACAATTGAAAATACTTGGATATACCTAATGAAGTGGCCAGTGCAGGACCTACCACGTATAAACGCCAAGCCTTCGATGAGCTTGATCTCTTTTGTTGCGTCCAGGTGAAAGTGTCTGAATGAGGAATCAGCAGACAGAGAGAAGCACTGCAGGTTTGCGATGGCCTTCACCAGCCTGCCAAGGGAAATTAAAACAATCAGACTTAGAGGGGAAAAAAAAACATTTTTAACGAATGTAAAGAACAAGCCACCTGTTGTGAGTGACTCTGGCCGCCTGCACGAAACACGGCTGGTCGGTCTCCTTGAGGAGCTCGTGAGTGTAAGCCATCATGCCAGCGTGCTCCAGCATGTCTCGCCTGGCTGACGCTTGGGCGGACAGCGCCTCCTCTCTGCGGTTGCGCGAGCCCTCCAAGGCCGCAGACAAGACCCCCAGACGCTCGGCAATGGATGCGGCCAGATCCTTCACGCAGCGGCTCAGGTGGCCGAGAGCTACAGCGCCGTTGGCCTGCGCACACAAACAGAAGGCTGGCATCTCTGAAAATGGACTCAATGACCTTTACCAGAAAAAAGAAGATGTCTTAGCTTTGCATATGCTAGCTACTTGTTATGATTGTCAACAATGTTGGTTGTTTAACTCTTTTACTCCCCATGCCGTACAAATACGTCTTGAAAAATCACTACGGCCGCCTACCCAAGATGTATTTTTAAGAAGAAAAAAAAAACTTCAAGGAATGCAATTTAAAAAAAACACACACAAATAAAATAAAAAAGGTCAAATCTGACCTCCATATGTTTGATGGTCCCTTCCAGCTGTGTGATTTGACTCTGTATGGTCTCCTGGTTGGCCAGGATGTAGTTCACCTCCTTGGTCAGCTGATCCTGTGACAACAGCAAGTAAAGTTGATACTGTGAGGCAGATGGTATCAGAATTAAAAAAAAAAAAATGATGTCAACAATTCGTCAGGCAGACGGCACGAGCAGATGCGGGGCACCTTGAGGGCCTGGTAGGCTTGTGTCACTGGCAACACTTTGTGGCCGTGGTGCATGCGGCGGAGCTTGCACAGCGGGCAGAGCAACCTGCGGCAAGCGCAGCAGTACCACTGCAGACGCTCCTGCTCGTGCTCGGTGCACGTCAGTACCTTGAGGGAGAAAAACATGAGGCTCAACGGAAAACCTTCATGCGCAGGAAACGAAATGAGAGACAAAACCTTTGGGCGAAAGTTGTTTGTGGGGAGGATGTGCTCGTGTTGGGCTCGGGGGGTCCCCCAGGGGTGGTAGAGTTTGAAACATTCATTGCAAAAGTTGGCTTTGCAGTCGGCGCAGCCCTTGGTGGCATCCAGAGATTGCGGAGGCTTGCAGAAAGCGCACATGATGGCGATGCTGCCCAGACTCAGCGTGTGCCTGTACCTGACAGAACAACGGCAAAACACGTCACTGTCATATTGTGCGCGCGTAGAGCAGGAACGGAAATCATTGAATTAAATACAAATAATATTTTAAACATGAAATGCAATCAAACATACTAGAATGAAGCTGCTTGTAGCTATACATACAGTTTAACATTTTTTTTTAATCCAGTGTCATACAATTTTTACTTTCATTTCCTTTCTGTCTGTTTTATTCCAGTTACCTTTCCACAATGCGCTCCAGAGTGAGGTTGCGGGGACAGTCGGTCAGGCCGTTCTCAGCCAGCTCCACATCCCTCTGACAGGAAGGACATGGGAACAGCATGGGAGGAGGGGCCATATCCTTACGCCGCCGCCCGGGGTACGTGCTGCATGCTTGGGGGGAGGAGAAAATGTGTGTTGGGGGCGCAGGAAAGCGGAAGGAATATGTGGAAACGATTGTCAACGGAAAGGATGTTTTTACACACACATTAGCATTGCAAGAAATTTTTTCATTTTGGGTGCGTGATTTGATTTTTGTTTGGATTTTTCAAAAACAAAGAATGCTCAGCTTAGCACGTTGTTCTTTTTCTTTGGCTTTTTGCTGACATTGGATGATATCACATGCGACATCGTCAGCCCTCACGAGATCTCAGCAAACATAAAAGGATTTGAGTGCATGTTTTGATTTGTCGGTGGCTTTTTCGTGATGTTCATTCCAAAAGTCGGACGGCATTCATGGATCTCTTCACGCGAGACCTCAACATACCTAACAAACCTAACTTCAGAGAGTGTTGTGCTTTTTTTTTTTTTTTTTTTGCAGCATCCAAAAGTGGGCCAGTCATCTAGGATGTCGCGCGAGACCTCTATATCCAGCGTCAGTATATAAAAAAATAAAAATACCTACCTTCTATTTTTTCCAACACAGAAGTTACACCAGCTTCATCACTGTATGGGGTAATTTTTGATCACATGATGAGTATTTGTTTGCCAATTTGGCGGGTGACATTGGAAGGGTTCTCTATTCAAGCACTCCAAATAAAATAATTTATCTTGGTCTCATGATATCACAGAAACCTACCATTTGAACGGCGGAATGTTGACTTTTTACATCCAGTGTATTTCACAGAAGTTCAACTTAGTCATTCATGTTTTGCTCTTTGCAACTCCTTAACCCATAAGAGCCCACGGTGACACCAGTGTAACAAACAGTTTGAACTCCCCAGTGTCTTTTTTCAAAACTTTTTGTCTGATTTTAACCCACCAGAACCTTTTGGAAAAATGGGTCTGGGCTCTTATGGGTTAAGGCTTATTCCAAAAGAAAGACTGCCATTGTGGATGACATCACACGACATGTCTCCACACCGCACAAGACCTCAGTTCAATAAGTATGTTATGCTTTTTCATTGACTTTTTGTGGCTTTTGCCTGACGCTCAATCCAAAACAAAGACTGACCTCATAGATGATAACACAGAAGACGTGACATCATCTTCCAGAACTCAATTTCGAAACATTCACTTTCGAATAAAAATGTTGATGTCACTCTTGACTCACACAATTTCTGACATCACCATCACACACTTTGGGACCTTTAACACATGCACACACTTAAACCACGCATTCGTCCGCCCTTACTAGTTCTTAGAATGTGTTCCAGGTGCTCTGGGGTCCGAGGCGTGGGTCTGCGGTGCTGGCGCGGGGAGCGAGAGTTGGGAGTGGAAGCTGGCGACCGTGGCTCCGGGGGGAGGTCAGGAGGAGGGAAGCCCCTCTGGACCAACATGTCGGATGCACACAGTAAACATACGCTGTGCTCACACGGCAGTAGGATGGGCTGCTTCACCATGTCGTCGCACACGGGACAACGCAGCTCCCGCTCCATGCTCTTCATGTTGGACTGGAATGAGAAAATAATATGTACATATTATTCAAATAAATATGGCGCATCTATTTCCTATCATGAGCGGCTTGAAGCAGCATCCCGTTTCTATGACAACGTACATCATCTCTGATTTCAGCTTCCTGCTATATCCTATATTTCAACAGATTTTGTCTCACGTTTGGACTCACGTTAATTATTAGCTGCTTTTTCTATCCATTAAAACATTCCAGTTAGCAGTCAGTAGCTAAAAACAAGACTAGGTGCATTTGAAGGTGTGTTTAGGTGAAATGCTATCATGTACGTTGCTTAAATATCGTAAGAGTGTTTTTCATACTCACGCTGACACGAAGCAAGGCGTCCATGGTGGAGATGAAGCTTTTTAATTCCGTTTCTGCCATGACTGCACGAAGCAATGCCGGTGCCAGGGAGCTCTTTTATGTCTGTGCTCGTAAAGTAGGCCCACGCATCCTACTGACGTGCAGCTATGAGCGTCCACACTGACATCTATTATGCTGGTGGTGATGTAGAAGAACAGTGAAAGGAATGAGAAACGTTGTTGGGAGGGGCCGGCGCGGCGCGGGGGACATGGGAGATAGTCTCGAGGCCGGCCAGCCGAATTGTTGAAACGAGATTTTTTTATTTTTTAGATTGTCATTTTTCCCCTCCATGTGTAATTATAATCCCTATTATTATTATTGTCATTCCTATTATTATTATTATTATTGTCATTCCTATTATTATTATTGTCATTCCTATTATTATTATTATCAAATAACAGTTCTAAATGTGTTCGAGTTCTTCTCCTCAAAAATTAAACTGCTGTCCCTGCCTTCTACTTTTACGTAGTTCTCATGTTACAATTTTATTGACACCAATTTAATAAATAAAATCTCGTGGCCTAGTTTCTTTTCCTGCCAACAGACGGCAGCATAGTAGTACAGTACTGTACAAGAAATATGAACCGAAAAAAAAACGTCCCTCGCCATTGGTTTCTGGTCGGAACTTTCAAAAGCTGTTTCCCTCCGGTTGGCAATCAAGAATGCACCAATCTGACTGTTGCTGTTGGCAACCAATGCTACTTCCGGTTGTACCAGAGCGATTTGAAACACGTTAAAGGTGGCGACAGATGGACGAAACCTACCTTGTGTATTGTTCTTGTCTGCTGTGCTCTTTAACAAGGTGAATTTACGTGTAGTTCGTTAAAAAGGTGCTGCACGTAGTGTTATGTAGTTGTCGAACAGCGATACCAACTAATCCACGCAACTGTATGTTTATATTCTAGGGCAAGCGCGCAGTGAATGCCTAGTCGCGCGTATTTATAACGCATATTTCGACGACAAATAATCTTAATTCCCCCCCACCTCCAGTTTATAGGGAAATGTTCAACCGCTAATTGTTGTTTTGATCTCAAAAAGGTAACTAGAAAGTTAGGATGTCGGTCATCAGCAGCCTTGTTCCTGCGAGGTTCCTGACCATCATCGCCCACCTCGTGATTGTCATCACCATATTTTGGACGCGGGTGAGTTCATTTACACTGGTTGCCCTTTTATTAAAAATTGCGACATATTTTATCTTGAATCCGAAAAATCCTTGGATTAAAACTTGCAGCTGCAGCATGGTAGAATGAGTTGGCAATATTTACACTGCTCTAGCTGGCTATATTCAAGTTTATTTGAGAGCTAACACCAAATCTTGTTGGTTTATCAGGAATATAACGTGAAGGCCTGCTTGCCTTTGGAGTTTACACAAGAGCAATACAACAGTGAGGATTTAAAGTAAGTACAAACAGAATGCATGCAGACCGATATGCTTACATCATAAACAAATATGCATTGTGCGTATGTGTGTTGCAGGTTGGTGGTGGCTCTGTCAGTCACACTTGGGTTATTCGCCATCGAGCTTGCTGGCTTCTTCTCAGGAGTGTCCATGTTCAACGGCAGCCAAGGCCTTCTGTGTATCCTTCACTCACTCTGAAATGTTCATATAAGTATGAACACATAATATGTATGATGTGCATGCGACGTGAAAAAAAGTGAACACACCCCTGTTGAACTGCAAAGTGTCATGCCCCAAAATTTGAACAGTCCCAAGTTCAAAACATCATCAACAGCAATGTTGTGAGACTTCAGCTTGGGAATTAATGAACAAGTCAGTGTTTTAGATTGTGCTTAGGCCGTCAAAGAAAGTGTCACAAAGAGGAAATGTATGTCATATTCATTGAAGCATAAATGGAGGTTATTGTGACATAGGAAATGATCACTCCATTATTTTACCAAACAGATGGTCGGAAGCCAGTACGAATTGTACGAGTTCAGAATTTTAATAAAGTCGAGTCAACATCAAGATGTTGTCATTGACATTTTTTTCCAGGATAGTATTATTATCAAAATAATTACAGCAGGAGGGAATGCTTTATCTCATGCCCTAAACGTCATTGCGGAGTAGTTGACTAGTTGATTATTCAACTTGTTTGTACAACACTTAGTAGCCAGAGCCCAGACCTGACCCTAATTGCAAATACATGGAGGGACTCGAAGGGGACTGTGCACAAAAGACTTGCCCTTGCCGTCGACTCGTTTAGAGCACTTCAACAGAAAACAGTAGGCAAATTGATTTGTTTTAGTTTTTCTTTTTTCCCCCCCTGACACATTTGTTTCTTTCTTATTTAATCAAACTGCTTAACCATGTTATTTTAAATTTTGAAATTATCTAATCATACATTCTTGCATTGGTGTGTGTGTGTGTGTGTGTGTGTGTGTGTGTGTGTGTGTGTGTGTGTGTGTGTGTGTGTGTGTGTGTGGTTTTTTTTAACCAGGGTGTGTTAACTTTCTATTGCTACTGTTCGTCAAGCAAGAATAGCTATACTTGTCAGTCTTAAAAAAATAAAAAATAAAATAAAATCATATCTCAGTTTACAATATGTAAGTACATTTTGCAGTGCGAACTGTCATCAGTTGTACGGCAATTCCATGACTCCTGCAATAGCTACTGGGGCCCATGCCAGTGGCTCAGTTGCTCTGGTTTTCTTTCTATTTGAGCAATGGGATTGTGCCGTCTACTGGTGGATTCTTGCCTTCTGCAGGTTAGTTTGCCATTGTATTCCAAAAAAGGAGTTTGTTTTTTTTTTCCCTGACATACACATGACCTAGCACTGACGGTCCACTGCAGCGCCTCCGTTTCCTTGTCTTATTTTGTTTTTGAGAAGTGGGAGTGCTGGACATATTGGATTATTTTTGTCCCTTGCAGGTTGGTGCACGTGCTGATTTATACAGATTTATATTTATGGGTCTCATTTCAGGGGATAAAATTGACCGAGAATGTAAATTCGAAAATAATATTTGTGACTATGTCATTCTCTCAATTTTCTTCTAGTGCGCTGCCTGCCCTCATGGAGATTCTTCTGCTTATCGCTGTTTTTGGACTGTCAAAGAAGCCATTATAATGTACACGTGGATAAATAGAATGTGGAAAAGGCATTTCTTTGTATTCGGTCTATAACGTTCACTTGTTGTGGGGTAGAACCTCATCTCCGGCCTCTCTGTGTCAAGCAAGCACCGGGAGTATGGCCTTCCTCATGCGAGTGTTGGGTTTTTTCTGGCTACACTGACTTCCTGCCACATTCCAAAAACATCCACTTTTAAGTTCATTGGAGACTGAAATATTATTAGGTCTGAGTGTTAGTGTGAACGGTTGCTTGTGTACCTTTGCACTGTGTTTGGCTGTGACAAGTTCCAGCTCGCTTCCAACGCTAATGAGGACGAGTGCTGTAGAAAATGGATGGAGGAAAGGATGTTCACATGTACAGTGGACCATGTATTTGTGGTTTATCACCCTTTTTTTTTTTGGTATATTTTTTTGGTTTTTGTCTGATTGAAATCTGTTACTGCACCCTGAAAGTTTTGCATAAATGTAAAATAATAAATACACTCTGTAAAAACAAACAAACATTTGACTCCTTTTTTGTTTTAATGTTTGTTGGCTTAACACTTGTATATCTTACTAAATATATCATTGTTTGCTGATGTTTTGTCTTGATACATAGATAATCATTAACTGTTTATATCGTATTATTGCATTCTGTATTGAATCTATTTTAAAAATATTTTTCCATTTCACTTTATGTATTTAAAAACAATTGTAGCTGGTGTTATTTTACGCATTGCTTTTGTTTTTATTACGAATAGCTGTATAGATGATTACCTATTTGCACTATTTTTGTATTGATGATTAGTTATATTAAGAAATGTATTTTGAAGCTCTTGATTATTTCAGCTTTTATGTATTATCGTATACTTTAATGGTCATGTTGTTTTCGTTCATTAATTCATTTCGGTATTTTTTTCCGTTTATGATTGAATTATTATCATAAGATATCTTTTTACAAATAAATGAGAATTAGTTGACTATTTGTAATTTTCTTTTTAAATTGCTGCTATATTTTTATAGCTCGACAGACGCTCATCGGCCTTGTAATGCAATTCCGGGTAAAGGAAGGTTCCTTTGCTTCCTACGTCCTAACTCTTCCCCATTCGGCTATTTCGGCGAAGTTAAATTGGACCTTTGAAAAGAAATAAACCAATAAATAACCACAATTACCTGCAATTCATTTGGAACTATGGGTATGTATTACACGCTTAATCGTTTATTTATGTGGCTTTCGTGTGTATGCAGACTTTCAGCCCCACAATCAACTAGCTTGTCCAGCTAACTAGTTGCAAACTAGCACCAGTGTATGACAATATTAGCACTAAATGTTTGCTCGATTATGGCAGTAAGCTTTATTCTAAATATAAAACGTTGTATTTACATGACAACTGGCTACGCTTGCGTGCGTTGACTTAACGGTAGCATTAGCTTAGCATTTGGAAGGCTTCCGTTTGAACACTGACGTGTCATTCGGAAGGCGTTTATGAGAGAACAGTTCTAAAACATGAAATGGATGTTTGATCATTATTGTACTGAAATGATGATAATAAGTCTTTACGAAAGTGGGAAAAGTAGGTCACTCTGGAAATTTGAAGTAAAAAGTTAGCCTATGCAATACAGCTAAAACAATATATCAAGTGAGAAAATGTTCATTGAGTTCATCTACGAAAATGAATCAGTTTCGTATGTGTGGTGTATTTTTTAATATATATGTAGACTGTGTTGTAAACTATTATGCGTTCTGAATTAATTAACATTTCATTCGTAATTTTCTGGCGAAGTTTTTGCATAATTATTACTCCTGTCGGTTTATTTCACTGATATAAGTCTGAGACGAAATTCATGTTTTTGTAATCGCGTCTGCCCTGTTAAATGGCCCACAGCCATTGAAGGGAGGAGTAATTGGTTCAATATGTTTGTTTTACTGTAGGTATGCCCATAAAAAAGAGATAATATCGTGCAAAATTTCCCCATTCCAAAGTTTGAGAACCATTGTTCTAGAAGGCAGTAGGATTGTTTGCAAAAACATACATTCACTGTAAGTCGCATTGAATATTTAGTAATTTCATATGATTCATAATTTGGAAACTAGTATATTCACTGCACTATACAGAGAGTAATGTTTAATGTGTTTGCCCTTTGTGTAGGAAATACAACGAACCAGGATATTAGTCAATATGTTGCTGATGTCATGAATGTAACTTTCTTGTTTTCTTCCTGGCAGCAGTGAACACGGGCACGTCTCTGGTGCTGTCCAGCCTGCTGTCAGTGTTGGTGTTTGCCGGCATGCAGATGTTCAATAAGCAGCTGGCATCCACAGAGTGGCTCACCATCCTGGGGGGCTTCCTGGGCTCCGTGCTCTTCATCTGCTCCCTCACCGTATCCTCTGTGCCCATGGGAGTGATCACTTGACTTGTGTTTTTTTGCCATTACGTAACATTCTCTATTACAAACACTTAACCTTAACTCGGTTTCTTCAGGCATTCAGCAATCTGGAAAATCTGTTTTTTGGGAAAGGGTTCCAAGCTAAGATCTTCCCAGAAAGTAAGTTCATGCAAGATGAGGATATCCAAATTATTATTTGTTTTAATCATAGATTCAATGTTAACAGTCTGTATCCACCCACTAAACTGGGATGGGCTCCCGTTGTCTAAATGGAAAAAGGAAAGTGTAGAAGGACTTTTGGGGCACGCTGTATAGTGTGAAATAATATACAGGTATGTTTGATTTGGGGATTTGGACACAAATAGACAAACAACTATTCACACTGACATTCACACATTGGCACATTAAGAGTTTTCATTGAGCTAACGTGTACAGTATGCATGGAATTTGGGAGGAAGCATCGTGAGCAAACTGAGATCCAAAGCAGAACATCTCAGCTGTGAGGCAGACATGCTAAACACCAAACCAATGTGCTGCCACTCACCTGAAACATGTTTTGGGATGTGGGAGGAAGTCAGAAAGTATTAGAACAGCATGGTCAATTCTTTTGTTTTTTTTGTTGAGTGTAGCCTCTACTACCGGAGACAGATTCCTTGTGTGTTTTGCATACTTGGCCAATAAAGATGAGTCTGATAGTTGCTCAAACGTGGCACTTTTGATTGATTGCTTAACAGATGATGCTTGTTTTTGGTGTCGTCACCAGAGAAAACTGCATTTGCTGTTAAGCAATTTCATTTTTGCAGTGCAATCTCCTGGCCTTTCCGTTGGCTTTTGGAGGAGACTGTTTCAACAAAAATGTTGATAATAACCAATGCTGTATTTCTAGATCATATTGTAACTATTGGATTGAATTCAATTTATAATTCAGTTGAAATAATATGACAGTATTGTACAAATGAGTCATCATCTCCCACCTAAAAGTCGGCTGGGACGAGTGCTAGAGAAAGTTAAGGGATGAACAGATGCAATTCAGGAACCAACTTGGTAAAGGCAGACTTTTTGTCATGTCTCTTGTATTACATAATGTGAGCATAATGTACAGTACTCTGATTGACCAACATTGTTCGACTTTCAGTTCTGCTGTGCCTCTGCCTGTCGCTCTTTGCATCCGGCCTGGTTCATCGCGTGTGTGTTACCACATGGTCAGTCACCTCGTTTTCACTTGACCATCCTTCACATGTACTACTTTTTTTTTTTTCCTAAATCTGTCAATATGCTCTCCTTGCAGCCTGATCTTCTCCCTCTTCGCCCTGTATTACATCAACAAAATATCAGCCGCTCTCTACCAGGCGGCGGCGCCCACGGCGGTGCCCGCCAAGATGGCCACCAAGGGCAAGAGGAAGAACTGATGAATGAAAACAGATGTCCCGCTTTTGACAGAAACTTTCATTGGCCATCTCCACATTCCATTCAAGAGATTAGGACTACGCATCATAGTCGTACACCACAAGTCATTTTGTAATTAAATTCAAGAAAACCATTGAATGTGTTTTGTCTCTTTCAGACGGCTCTTTTCTGCTCCTCAGGTATGTCAAGGCACATTTGGAAGGGTTTGGTGTTGAAGGATTTTCCTACCAAACGCCTCAAACGATAAATTAGAATAGAATCTGTGCGATAGCCAAGTCTGACATCACCTCAACAAATCATTGCTGTCCAATGAAAAACAAATATCGCCCAACTTCTGGAGGTTCTCTTTTTGTGTCCTTAAATAAGACAAAAAGGAAGCACCAGTGCTAAAATAAATTAATACTAAATTCCATAAATTCCACTGGCCGTGGCAGTACGTACACTACCACAAAGAAGCTGACGTCACATCTGGCTATTGCTGTTTGGCTGCTGGAACTTGCCAGAGCTGACGTTTTTTTTTTTTTTTTTTTTTTTTTATAATAACACTTCCACTGATATTCATTTGAAAATGAAGACAAAAGTGACATATTCTTGACTTCCTGTTGATGCTAAGTAACACGTGTTAAAATACTTTTGTCTGAGTTGAACATTGTGGTTTTGAACCTGAACTTGTGACTCACATAGTTAAATTATAGTTATGATTTTTTTTAACCACATTGATTTTCAGCTGCAAAGCACATCGTGACTGACTGTCCTTGTAGACTTGAGGATTCATAGCAAGGCTAGGGGAATCCTACGGCTGACATGAGTAATTCTGAGGGCAAATAAAACCTCAGAGGAGGTGGTATATGAAGAAATATGTAATTGTCAAGTCAAACTTTATCGTCAAATATGCTCTATGTACAACATACAGCGGAGATTAAAATACTTTCCTCTCTCAACGACAGTGCAAACATGCAATGCATTGAAACATCCATCCATCCATTTTCCGAACCGCTTGATCCTCACTAGGGTCGCGGGGGGTGCTGGAGCCTATCCCAGCTCTCTTCGGGCAGTAGGCGGGGGACACCCTGAATCGGTTGCCAGCCAATCGCAGGGCACACAGAGACGAACAACCATCCACGCTCACATCCACACCTAGGGACAACTTAGAGTGTTCAATCAGCCTACCATGCATGTTTTTGGAATGTGGGAGGAAACCGGAGTACCCGGAGAAAACCCACGCAGGCCCGGGGAGAACATGCAAACTCCACACAGGGAGGCCGGAGCTGGAATTGAACCCAGTACCTCTGCACTGTGAAGTCGACGTGCTAACCACTGGACTACCGGGCCGTCTGCATTGAAACACACATCTAAAAAATAATGGCAGCATCCTGAACTGCACAAAAACACATTAAATGACATAAATATATAAATATGAACAAATAAAACAAATAGCAAACAACACACAACTAAGGGCACTTACAGGTTAAAGCTTAGGTAGTGAATTGTTTAAGTGCAATAATCGGATGTCAGATGCTGAGGAAGGGTCACCGACTGTGGAAGGAGGCGGGGCGGGGCCTGGCGGGGGGGTGAGGAAGAAACTGTTTTTGAGCCTGCTGGTTCCGACACGGAGACTCCGCAATCTCCTTCCCGACGGCAGCAGGTCGGAGAGGCTGTGAGATGGGTGGGTGGGGTCACCTGTGATCCGGATGGCTTTGCAGGTCAGGCGAGAGTTGTAAATGTCCGAGAGTGGGGGAAGACAGACACCCATGATCATCTCAGCTGCTCTCACAATACACTGCAGACTCTTTCGGCAGGACACGGTGTAACCGCTGCACCACACGGTGGTGATGCAGCTGGTCAAGGTGCCCCTCAATGGTGCCTCTATCGAATGTCTGCATCGTGGGTGGGGCGGGGCTCTTGCTCTCCTCAGTTTGCGGAGGAAGCACAAGGATCAAGAATTATGGCATATTCTACACACACGATTTCCTGTTTTGCTGGAATCTTTTTTTATGGGCCATGTCTCATTTAAATCCTACTGGTGTTGTAGGTGGGACGTGCCCCTTTGCAATTGGCTCCTGCACGGGAAAGTAAGTGTGAAGTATGAATTGACCTTTATACTAGTCCCGGTTAGCCAAGGCGCACACATCAGACTGAGCATTATGTCATTAAAGTGGACCAGTCCACCATTCGGCTAAAATTGACAACTAATATAAATTATATAGATAGCGAGAGAAAATCCACAGGATTTGTGAGTGCCAAACAGTACATTCAAGTTACACGTTGCAATTTTTTTGTTGCTGTTTTATTGCATTTCCATTCGTTTCAAAAAGAGGAAATGGTTTGAGATGCAAGTGCTTCGTGTTGCGTGCGGGCAAGGAACGAATAAAACTCATATCTCAAGTCAGCACTGCGCTTGGTGTGAAGAGTTTCAGAAACCGTTTAAAGCCGTTTGAGTGAAAAGTTTCGACACACCCTTTCAATTAACAGCTCGAGAAAGGGAATGAAAACGGACGATGTAAGCGTCTCACACGACAAGCAAGAACGCTGATTATAGAGTACAGTATAGTTTCCATCTAAACTTCAATCGGGAAAAAAAAATTGCGGTTGTGGTTTTGATATTCGAAAAAAAAAATCTTGGGAGTTGTGTTCAAATGGGTGTGTAGACATGAGCACAGTATTTGCTTTAACTCCCTCCCACCTCTGCTTTCTTCATCTCCCTCCCATCTCCTTCTGCCGGGCGTTGCCCGTCTGACTATATATACTCGGATAAAATCCTCTTGAACTCCCGCTTTTCTCTCAAACCCATCTTGCTCACTCAGCCTCCTCGTCTGGTAAGTAGCCGCTTCTTCAATTTGACACTTTTTGGGGCAGGTTGCGCTCATTTTACGCTTGCATGGTGCTACACTAGAAGCTATAGTTCAAGGAAAATGGGAAAACACACACTCGTGAAAGTTTAAAACGTCAGCTGTATGGATTCGAGTGAATCGTTTGGCTGTTTTTTTTTTGTTTGTTTTTTTGTGAGGGGGGGTTGCCGTTCATTCTCAGTTTTACGCCAAAGGTTGCATATGGGACACTGGGCGTGTCATTGGACGGTCTGCGGTTTGGACGAACTGCACTTCTCCCAAGCGACAAGTCGCTGCTGCAGATCTTCTGCTTCCTGTCCCTTTGTGAGACGTGATTCCATTATAGTCCTTGGGGTTTTTTTTTTACGACTTTTTGTCTTGCTGCAATCCAGTCGGGAAAAGGCGGATGTGGACCACAGGGCAGCAGCCGTGAGATAAGGATGTCCCATTGTTCCGGAACATTTGTTCTAATATTAAAAGAATTTGCTCCGAGTGCCAATGAAAGCAACACCCGTGTCCTCCCATTGAGCTTCACTGTTTGGTTTGGCTGCGGATGATATAATGAACTGTTTGTCTTTAAAGGGACCCTTTGAATAAACAAAGCTTATGCTATCATACTGTCATATTATTTTTTATATATATACTGTATTTATTATTGTTACAATGATCATATTTTTGTGAATGTACCGAATAAAATATATGGTCAATAAGCGCAGTTCATTATTAATAAAATATATTAATTTGATTTAATTTAAAACTAATATTTGAATAACTAATAATACACAAATAATAGTATTATCTAAGACGCACAGTCTACATACAAATCCTGATATTGTCACTGTCCAATGTGACGCTGAATGACAATTGTGATTTTTAAATTCAGTGTATCGTAAATCTATCAGCAATATCACATCGTGAACTACTCTGCCAGGACCACTCCTCATAACCCCCTGCGTATTCACAGCGCCCACCTGTCTCTGCAACCATGAGTGACTTGGAGAAATGCATGGAGAACCTCATTGTCATTTTCCACCGCTACGCCAAAGACGACGGCGATGGCAGGACGCTAAGCAAAAAAGAACTGAAAAAACTATTGGAGGTAGAGCTACCCACCTTCCTCAAGGTGAGAACATGTTCTCTCAATGTAATGGGGCGAGTCACTTACAAAATGAATCATACTGGATATTAGTATCTACTGTCATTTGAAAGTCATTATCGTAACTGTATATTACAATATGTTTTTGCATTTCATTTGTAAATGTAAGTGTGCCTAGTTGTTTGTTGGTGTGTGCCCTGCAATTGACTGCAGGCAACAAGTTGGGTTGACTACAGCTCTCCCACAACCCTTATGAGGACAATTGATAGAAAGTGGATGGACGAATGGAGACTGACGGCCTTTCATCAACGAGAAATGCTCAAACAACATATCACAATTAAAAATAACCTGAACAGGCCTATTTTTCTATTAAACCAGTGTCCTTTTTCCGCAATATCTAAAATGAAGTGTTTGATTTTTTTTTTAGAGCTTCATGGAATGTGATGAAAAGTTAACCCCGCCCATTGCTTGTTATTGCAGACTCAAAAGAACCCCAAAACAGTGGATTGCATCTTGCAGGACCTGGACCTGAACAAAGACGACAAGTTAGACTTTGAAGAGTTTCTCCCCCTGGTCGCGGGCCTCTCCTTGGCGTGTGAGAAGTGCTACGTGCTTCACCAAAAGAAGGGCAAACAATAAAGGCAATGGACACTTCAGTTCTGAGAGTCTGTAGTGTTACATGAGTATAAACCTTTGACTGAATATCACTTTGTCTGCATGATTACTCACACCATGAAAGGATGTTATTGTCTTTGTATTCTCCATGATTTGAACATATGGAAACATTTTAGTCCAAAGATGTCCACCCTGTTCTTCCTGTCTCTGAAAAAGTGTGATTGATAGGCATGAAGTTGATAAATAGCAGGTGGCCCAAAAAATTTTTGGTCGTACAATCTTCTCACCCCTGTGTACTAAAGCCACAAAGCTAACAAATGCTCAAACTAATTGTACATGTGAGTCATGAAAAAAACTTTCACAGTTGAATTAAAATGTTAACGAGTTTTCTTCTTTTTCTGAACCAAATTAGTAGATGGCCAGTTGTTGCTACGCAGAGTTTCATGGGGGTCCAAAAAATGTGTGAATACAAGCCAAAACATACCCCATACACACCAAAAAAAAACAAAAGCTCTAAGCGGCCATGAACCAACTCTGACACACATTTTCATGTCATAACTTCAAAAGTTTTCACTTTTGATACCATGTTCTGTACAGATTTAAGGAAAAAAACTTCACAATTTCACCCAGTCAAGTTGCCTTGATTCAACCTTTGCAGATTACAGACAGCAGCATTCTAAAGCAGCACGATCGACTGGAGCCGGTGAGAAATTTTCAAGACTTGCCCCTTTAATAGATGCAAACTCCTCCCACTTCAATATTTAACAGTGCCTGCAGGATGACTCAGCATCTGGCACGGAGGTTTGCAAGTGGTTTATATCACGCCCTTAGAACACAGGATCGTTCTATCTGAGGAATTCCAAGTTTCTGATACATTGCCATGACAACGCTGCGTTGAGTATACACTGTCTGCACTGATGTTAGCCCACACTAGAATCCAGTCATTTCAAACGGATGACGTTACTTGGGAGTGCCAAATCCCAACTAAAGGCAAGTTATTTATCATTATGACAACAGTGTTACACAGAATTTAAGATCGGCATGGTAACTTAAAGCATATGCTTACAATCAGGCATGGAATCATAAATGTTCATTGTGGAATGTCTCCTTCCTCAAAGGACATGTGCTGTTGTGCTAAAGCCAATCTACACAGGTGGGTGTTAACATGCTAACAGTGTTAAACATATGAAATGATAGCAACCTTAGTTTGAATAAACTGATGCAATGGATTTGGATTTTAGATCTTACTCGGTAGTCTGGTTGTATTTCTAATAAGAACAGCTGAAATATTGATATGTTACCATTTACTATGCAAACTTATAGCATAAATAGCAATATGCAAACCCGAGTCCAAAACGGGCCAAAGCTTATCATTAAAGATTTCCAAAGAGGATTGCTAAAATGCTAACAGGTGGTATGCAATGATTACAGCTCATGTATTTTTCAACTGCTCGCTGAAGGGAGCTTGTAAGCAAAAACTAAGCACTAGGTGGCAGCATCGATCAAGTCAAACATTTTCTTTACAATATGTTCTATGCATGCCTACTAATCTTCACAAGGCATTCTGATTAATATTGCGGTTGTGAAATATGAATTAAGCAGCAAAATGCACCACTTTGAAACCTCTTTGTTTAATTTTACTGAAACAAATCGACATGCGTGATTGGCTTTCTGTCTTTTATTGCTCATATTGATAAACAATCAGTCTCACGTCATTTTCTCTTTTGTTATGTTGTATAATCTTAACCGATCATTTCATAACTGAACACTGTAATTTGTCCGTTGGCGTGGTGCGTGCGCGCGCGCGTGCGTGCTGCGTGCGTGCGTGCGTGCGTGTATGGTTATTTGTATATGTGTGTGCTCCGATTGGCTGGTAACCAGTTCCGCGTGTGCCACGCCTACTTCCGGAAGTCAACTGGGATTGGCTCCAGCACGTGACTATCATGTGGTTCTTTGAAAAGGACAGTAAAAGCCCTGTTTCCAAAATCCAATGTGTGCCGCAAAACATTTAATTAATGAAGCTAGAAGGACTTTAATCCTTGTCATATGTATGTTTGTGTTACTAGTAGTTTCATGTGTTGTATTTAACTGCTACATTTGTTTGATAATATGTTTCCGTTTTTTTGTTGTACAGATAGTTGTTGCTTTTTTTTTTTTTTTTTAAACAAACCGTGTCATCAGGTTATGTGTAACATAGTGACATCCAGGTCAATTCCCGTGCAGCATTAATGTCAACCCCATAATGAGCGTTTAAATGGGTTGACGTGGATAGAGTATAAAGTAGTACCGTTACATAAACCGCTATTGGCTTGATAATGATGCACGATATCGAGCCTCACCTCTCCTAATAATAATAACAACAAAACATAGCTTTCCATTGACGCAGATTTCTTTTGACTCACTATTCAATGCAAAGAACACGCTGAAAACTATTACCTGAAAGGGTAACTAAATAGATACATTTTATTTTGGGTGTCATTCATGTCATTAGCTCACTTTTCAGGATTATGAAACACAATACAAAGTGAATACAGAAAGGAAGAATACAATGTAGTAAAGTGCTATAAAACACACAGATTGAAATGATACAAAGATTTAATGAAATGAACAAAAGATATTTGAAAACCAAAGCAATTAGACAGAAAAAGCAGGATCAATAGCGGGGTGAATAAAACTTTACTTTCAGTAAAGTATTGTGTATTTTCCATGCCATTACATCATGATCAAATCATGAATAATGATCAGGAAGCTATAAAAAGGTGGACTTGTCTTGAGTGTGACACCATCGCATGCTGGCATTGCTGGAGAACACAAGAACTCACTTCACCTAAATATACCGTGAGTATTACGGGGACTTCATAATTGACAAGAGTTTTAGTGGCTGAGAGTATACAAAGTTTCAAAGTTTCACTTCAAAATTCTGGTGAATTCTGGAGGGTCTGTCGGTGGCAAGGAAGATCATTTTAGTTCAGGGAAAAAAAAAGACGACAATTATTAGTGTCATATAGGTTTCATAAATCAGACCTTGACATGGAACAAATTGAAACAATTGCCATTTGCGACTACAAGTGTATTGTTTTTATTCATCAGCTGTTTTGAATAGAACCTTTTGCAAAGTGTTTTCCAATTTATGTCATGTCTTTTTAGTCTGCTGCTTTCGCCTCTACACAAACTTGATTTTCAAGATGTTTTTTTTAATTGTGGTTTCAAACATCCCATGAACAAACTGGCAAAGCCAGTCGTCATCACACATTCCTCTGTGTATTTAAGGGCACTATATATTTTTTTCTTAAGAGGATAAAACTAACATGGTGTAATACAATGTTGGGGACACATAAATTATCCATCCATCTATTTTCCAATCCATTTATCCTTATGAGGGTCCCGGGCGTGCTGCAGCCTATCCCAGCTGCCTTCGGGCAGTCGACTGGGGACACCCTGAACTGGTTGCCAGACAATCACAGTGCACACATTGACAAACAGTCATTCACAGTCACATTCACACCTAGGGACAAATTAGGGTGTTCCATTAACCTGCCATGCATGTTTTTGGAATGTGGGAGGAAACCGGAGAACACTCAAGCAGGCACGGGGAGAACATGCAGACTCCACACATGCAGGCCGCAGCCGGAATCGAACTCTGCACCTCCGTACCGTGAAGTGGATGTGCGAACCAGTCGATTACCGTGCCGCCTCACATCAATTACGTAGATAAAATATAAATGAAAAGCCCAGTTTCCATCAATAAATATATATCTTTGTCGACACTTTAAAGTCCCTGTAAAGTCAGAAGTCCTAAACAGTGCAGTTAACAACCGTGACAAATTGGAATGATTAAAACAGTTGCCAAATATCTAAAAGAGGCTTTAAAATGATAAAGAAAAGAAAAATCCTGCTCCCGTTTCCACTCTCAAATGCCATGGGTGTGTCGGCTGAATGCGCTGAAACCACCCAACTGTCACCTGTCAATCACATGTCACGACTACGACATGCATATGCTACTTCAATTAGCATCTTCCACAATATGTATTGTATTGTATTTTATCCCTCAACCTAACCCAACCCCTTGACAATCTGTTTAGTTAATCCAAACCAATAATTAAAGTGCATTTCTATTTATTTGCTTTTAAGTTGAAACCATTACTCTTTGAAACTGTAAATTCGCCTTGGGTGATGTGTTAAAAAAAACCCATCTGCCTCCGGCGGCCCCCAAAAAGTTCATTAGGACACAAAAATCATTTTACAGGCATTAGTTTGTGTTTCTGTTAGAAGGAAGCCCACAATCTATGAATCATAGGAAGCATTTCGTTTACTTTCGAGAAAATAGTCTGTGCACCGTTTTCAACAGCCCCTTCCTGCAATTATTCACAACCTCCTGTTCCCAATCCCTTTCCAATAACCCATTCACCCCAGCCTTAACTTTATCAACTCTAAATCTAACCCTAACCCCTAACAACCACGTAACCATTATCTTAACACCAACCCAAATCCTCGATCTAAACCTTCCATAGCCCTAACAACTTAATCTTAACCCCTTAACACTAATCACCCGGACATTTTCAAACAATCCCATTTCAACAAATACATTTAAACTTGTATTTTTATTATTTATTTTATTTTGTTAAAGAAATGTCTGTCCTGTTTTTATACAACAAAATTACCAAGAGCATATATTTCACACAGCCCAAGTAGCCATGGCCAAAATCCACCAGAGCATCCAAGCAGTGTTGGACTTCTTTGATCAGTATAAGGGTGAGGATGGCGTTTTGGACAAGAAGGAATTTAGAGCAATCATCGAAAAAGAGTGCAAGGTACATTAGCGACAACGCAGCAAGTACATTACCATTTTTTTTTCGTTGTTTTTTTTTTTTTTTTTTCTTAAAAAGGCCAATTTTTGCTCCCCAGGGGAACGTTGATGAAAGATAAGCAAGAGAAATCTGTCCCATCGTTTGTTTTGTTTCTCTTGATCGTGGCCACGCAATAAAAAGCCATGAAGATGGATCATGTAATTCTGTCTTTTAGTTTCTTCTTATCGATGCTGTACAAATTAACACCTGACCACTGTCTTTCAATTTTTTTGACCAGACCGTTCCAGAAACAAACGTCAGATGCTCTTATTTTCTCATACAATATCATGTTATCTCATGCCATAGCATCTTTTGCCATCGCAGATAAATATTACAGTCCCAGTATGTTATACCACCGAACCATGCCGTGTCAATTCATATTACTGACCGACGGCAGTGTTTCCTGACCTTTATTGAGACAAGGATCAAAAGCTTCCATTCGAGAAATATCATGGTATCACCAGACAAAAAGTGACCAAATCTTACTGGAAACTGCAGGTGAATACACTGGTTAATTCTCTACCATCTGCCATTTGACGGAATTTAGTTCTACCAATCACCAAACATCATAAAAGAAACATTATTTGAAGTCAATAAAATACAAATTTTCGGATCAATTCAGTGATATTGGATCATCTCATGACACACTAATGTGCCACAGCACTTGACAGTAGAGTAGTTTTATCAAGGGTTTGTCATATTGTGTCACATGACAGTGTTACAGGACGGTAAGCACACACAAATATTTTGTTTGCTTTCATTTAGGACTAATGAAATTAAAAAAAAAAAAAAAAATCACAATTCACAGTCAATCAGGTGGTTGGACTTTTGAAAGTTATATTTAGAAAAAGTGTTGTTACATAATACTTGGGATTCACCCAGCATCTTTTAACATAGGTGTGGCAAGTAAACAACGATCCTTTTTTTTTTGTTGAGTTTTTTTTTTTTCAGTTGGAAGTCTAAGTACACCTCCAACATAATCACCTGGAGAAACTCCCTTTGTGTTCAACCGTGCTCACACATGCAAGTGGTTTCTTTGTCAAACTGGATATAGCACGTGTACTTGAGGCAACACCAGAACGGTAAAACCAGTCTAGGTGGAGTCTGCAACATTTTACGTAGATCACATTTGAGTTTGTGTGTGTGTGTGTGTGTGTGTGTGTTGTGTTCAACCGTGCTCACACATGCAAGTGGTTTCTTTGTCAAACTGGATATAGCACGTGTACTTGAGGCAACACCAGAACGGTAAAACCAGTCTAGGTGGAGTCTGCAACATTTTACGTAGATCACATTTGAGTTTGTGTGTGTGTGTGTGTGTGTGTGTGTGTGTGTGTGTGTGTGTGTGTGTGTGTGTGTGTGTGTGTGTGTGTGTGTCATTAAATGAATTAGCCGAACTATAGAAGACGATGCATCTCACATGAGCCCATTAGACATCTCTGGAAAATCACACAAGATCACTTCTTGGCCGCTGAACAAATTGTAAGTGCTAAACGAATTTGTGCAATGACATTTGGAGTATGCTGGATGCATGTGTCTGTAATCGTGGGTGATATTCGAATCAATTCGATTGTATTTTTTTAAAAAAGAGAAAAAAAAATTAAAGGAACCTATTTTTCCCCAAGCTGAGTCGCCATGGGCCGCCTGGATGAAGTAATTCTAAAGATGACGAGCCTCTTTGAGGAATACAACACTGAAGGCGACAA